GAAAGGCAACATATCTCATTTTAGGGTTGGCACTACTTATCATACTCATCTTGTCCATGAATATGAATAAATATAGCGTTTAAGTTAAGGTGTAAGCAGCCACAGACGGTGTTGTCATGAGACCCATAATTTTCCTTTCTCTGCAGGAGGCTTGTAATTACACCATAGATCACACTCTTGTCAGCCCCAATATCTGCTGTCGAAACAACATATATAGTTATTACATTTTATAGATATAGTTTGCATTAACTCTTTTCAGCATTTAAAGTGAGCAGGTACCATCATGGTTGTCAGCACAAATATCATAGTTGACTTGTACACTTAGCTATTCACCAAACTCCACTTTAGACCATTCAGACAAACGAATGAACGAATGAACAAACAACTGGACCAATGACACAAAACCCCCAACAAACCAATCAACCAATGAATGAACAAACAAACAAACAAACCAGCCAACCAACTGTTAATACAAATGGTACATAAAAAAACAAAACAAAAAGCAAACAAATAAACAAAACAGCTGAATCGTTTATAGCATTTATTTTTCTCTTGACTTAGTCTTTTGTTAAATAAAAAAAAAAAAGGTTAAAAGTTTGGATCTTGGACTTGAACAAGTCCAAATGAATTAAACATCAGAATGCTCAGTGAGACTAAAACTAAAGATAAAGACGCAGTACAGGCTAACGGCAAAGAATAACTTTTAAATATGGCAGAAACGAGATAGAGCTATAAGGAAAATACACATCTGAGTCACAAATTCTTGCAATTTACTTAATTTTTCAATGAGCGTTTTAAGTGATACACATGATGTTTGCTTTTGTGTGCTATTAAGATTAAAGTAAAACTGGTCTAATATGAATAAAAGTTAAATTAGAAAACTAGCTATTTCCAAGGATTAACATACATTTTCTTGCCACTGTTCAATTGCTATTGAAAACTCTCTTACAATACATTATGTGGTGCCTTTCTTACTCTATCCTACTGGTCTACATGTACATGCCCCTCCACCACCCAGGGTAAGAGTAAAGGGCCAACGTCTATCTCTCATTAACCTACTGACTGGATAAATCAAAGTGCAGGGCAGAGAGGAGAACCCCAGCCTTGGCCATTCAGATAAGAAGAACACAACCTACACCAGCTCATACCCTACAGCTCAGTGATATATGGATCTGCAGAGGCTAATAGCAAAGTATTGACAGGGAAATGGTGTGCTTATCCTGCTCTCGCATGCTGGCGAGAGGTCCCCAAAGCAGATGGGATACACTTTAGGGAGAGGGAAAGAGGAGGAGGGGGGGGGTGAAAGGATGAGATAGAACTGTACTGGGACAAATTAGAGTCTTTATTGCTTTACTTCAGCTAATTTGCCTCTGAGTTTGAGTCTACAAAATAGTTTAGCAATTTCCTTTCCACGTAAAAAACTGTAATTAGTGGCTGGACATCACAATAAATGTATTTATTTGAATGTAAATGTTCTGACTTCTCTGACAACCAACTCCAGATATCTACATCGTATTAGCCATTAAAGAAGATAGTGAAATATTTTATTGTGCTGGACATTTATAAATATTTCAGTTCTCAAACACTGCAACACATAAGAAAAAGCACACAGCACAGAGTTTGCAGGAAATTCTAATGTTTCCAATAAATAATGTGAGATGAGAAGCATGTGGTGGATGCCTAGTAGCTTAACCGCTCTCCTGATTTACTTATTTTGCATGCCAATCCATATTCTTCATATCTATAAAATACAAAACACAATGGCTACAGGCAGCAATATAGTTCTCCAACAAGAACCAGTAGATAAAGATACTGGCCGTCCTCCCACTAGTGGAGTTTGTAATGATGGAGTCAGTAGGTTATCACTGTGGCCGCTGCACCTTGTTCTAAGTGACAGCTTTATCTAGCACAACCTATTCTTCCTCTGATGTGGCTGAAGAGGCAGGAGATGCGCTCTAATGGCAACACTTCATCAACCTCTGAGAGGATGTAGAGCGAAACTGCAGCCTCTGATGTTAGATAAAGACATTGACACAGCTTGATTACCAGACCAGCTGTAATTTGGTTAAAGCCTGCAGTGCACTACACCTGCAGTAGTTTAGAGCTTGTAAGTGTCAGTGGATTCTTGAAAATTGAATTGACAGCGCTAAGCCTGTCATGCCATACACAAACAGGATGTAGTGCATGCGCTGGGAGTGCTGCTGTAATTGAAACAAGGACACAGTGTGTCCTCGATGATACAGCAACATTACAGAGGAGGTAAGTGAATGATTTTGGGTCGGTGTCGGCATCTGAAGACGTCACAGCACCTCTCTATGGCCACCAGGGGACACAGTGGATAACCGTAAATAAATGAATGAACAGGGAGGCTGAAGGAGATGTCACAGTTATTTCGTGGCTGAAAAGAAAATACACAAAACAATAGAGATTCTTATTGTGCTCATGTTTTTGAGGGGAAACAATTGGCTACTGTTGCTTCCACTGCGATCGAATACTGTTAAGAATCCGAGTCAGCATTTTCCAGGTGCTTATATTTATGAGTGGATTTAAAAAAAAAAAAAAAAAAAAAAGACTGAAAAAAACTTATGCTGTTATCAACTCTGGAATATTATGAGCATGAATTTGCATCAATGAACAATGAGGGCGAAAACAAAGCACTATCAAACGTTGCCAAATGCCTCTGTCCCTCTAAAGGAGACCACTTATGACCAACCTTACATCTGGATGCCAAGCACTGTGTGGGGGCCTGTCTATGACTATTATTACCCACTTGACGCCTTTATAGTTCCATGGCAGACATCCTCTTCAGCAGATCTAGAGACAGAGATGCAGAATGCCAAAGCGGCTCCACAGTGCCGATGTGGGACAGTGGAGTTTTGTGTTGAAATAATTAGCCTGCTTAGCTGCCATCTGGGCTCTGGTTGCTTGTGTGTGGTGTGAGCCAGGTGCTTCATGGGTAATACCACAGAGAGACATATAGCAGATGCTCATGGGTAGTGCTGCCCACCTTGGCACAGACTTGGAATCGGCTATTCACAATACAAGTCTCGAGGAAGACTACAACAGACAGGACTAGTTTCTTGAAGCCCATTTTAGGGTTTTTTTTCCTAAACCAACTGCAGTAATTACTAAAGACGAGGTTAACGATGTCTGGTGGAAACAAAGTAAACTTCTTTTAAGTACATACAGTTCTGTTATGGGTTCCTCAGCAACTTTGCAAGTGAACCCAGTAAAAATCAGCAAAAGTGCATTCTGCTCAGATCTGAATCTGCGATAACCCCCATTTCATCCGACATAAAAACCAAACCAAACAATCAACACCCTTATCTATGAAACACAGGTGCCTTTTGATTACTGCTCTTTCCCAACACAGCTCAAAAATTTAAGGAGGTTTAAACATTTTTTGAGCAGTTCACTAGGCCAGTAACTTGATAAGAGCCCTGGATTTACTCAATGAGGAAGAAAGTTCCTGAGCAAGCAGCAGGCATGTGGTTGTTGTTCCCAGAGGGCTGGGAAACTGTATCTGCCCTGAAGGAGCATCCTCTTTGGTAAGCACTTCTTATCCAGGCCATCACTGCAGGCCGATAGCGGGTAATATCCAGTAACTGCAGCTTTATGGGCGATCCAATACTTGGATCAATCGCTAGGACAGGAGGAATGCCATTAACCCCTAAGATGTCTCTCCTTTTCTCTCTTGTTTTTGTTTCCTTCAAGTGGGTCTTTTTTTTTTTAAATTCTGACAGAGAAGTCAAGAATAATATTAATTCTTGAGAAAGAAAAAAGGAATGCTCCACATATCTCACTTTAGGATTTTTTTTTAAATTTCCCACAAAGCTCTCGCTGTCAGTAAAAAGTATAAGCCTGAATATCTCTTGTATTTCACCTTAAATTGCTTATCACTTAATGGTTAACTTCAGAGTGCCATAAAATAACACGAATCATTGTGAGATGAATAAGCTGTGTGCACATTAGTGTGAATATACTGTGGTGTTTCCATATGTAGGTTTGTCTGATTTCTATTTGGACTGTGGTGTGAGTAAAAAAAAAAGGCTTAGGTTTATATTTCTATATCTACAGTATGGTTAAGTGTGTGTGTGTGTGTGTGCAGGGTTGTAGTTGAGAGTGTGTAAGAGTGTGCACATGTAGTGAAAGCTAGAAAGACAGAAAAGAGAGACTTTGTTTGAAACTCCCAATACTTTGGGGAGTATTGCTCCATATACTGTCCCGTGTGACAGAGCAAAAGAAAGCTCGAGTGAACCAAATATACGTAGCTCTCGCTGAGCATTTCTGTTGCTCTCACTGAATATAAATGGATAAATAGCTGCTGAAATGAGTTAAACATCATGAGAAATTACACTCATTGATACAAAGTGGGCATGCTCTACAAAAATAATCACAAATGCATCATTGCAAATACATTTGATTATTTAAAAGGTAAAAATTACATGTACTACATTTTGTTTTAGTCACCAGGATGTCATATTTATTCGGGCGCATAGTTTTGTGATAGAGGTAGAGCAGTTCACTTCATATCAACCATAAACTGCACGGTGGAAACAGACAGCTCTTAAATTAAATCACTGCAGAAGGCGTTACAGACTGCCACTGTAACACTGGTGTGACAAAATCAAACAGAATCAAATGAACGGACTGCATAAGTAAAAGATTCTTAATTTAACTTGTAATATCCAATATGCATTATAATGTCTATTTTACTATTGTCTTACACAGGTGATGATTTACCACAAATTCTGTTTTTCTAGTCAAGCTGCTGAAAGTCTGCTGAAAGTAATGCATAATGTATTTTCTTAGTTAGCAATATAGTTATGTTGTTCTAATTTTCCCTGTAAAATAAGATGAAGAAAGCACTCACTCTCACTGATATGATATAGTGAAAGTTATTTCTTGTAGCAGTTAACAGACACATAGACATGTGTGGAAAACACAGCTACAACTGATAACTTAAACCGTTTAAGTCTAATGACAAAAGTTTCACTTACCTTGAGACCCCAGAGCGCGATCGCAGGTGTAGGAGAGGAAAGTTGAGCACATCCTCATTTTTTTTTTCCCACGCAAATGTCAGAGGCCACGAGGCAGCTAGCTGCGTCTGACTACCTCACAGTAACAAGCCTGGGCGCGAGAGAGCCGTCCAGGCGGGCAGGTGGCTGGTTTGTCGGAGGGTTGGTCAACTGGCCTGGCAAGCAGAGACAAGGGGACAGGCACACGGGGAGAAGAGCTGAGCCGGAGTGGGCTCTGCTGGAAGGCTTTTTCGCCTCTCCTTCCCTGAATGAAAGCAATCCCTAAGAGTGAATGGGTAATGAGAGACTGGCTCCTGAGATTTTAGCTTTCTTAATCATGTTCATAATTAATTCAAGAACATTGATAATTTCATTACATTCTTTTTGTCTTATCAATAAATGATGTGCCTGCACTTTTGGTCTTGTGTATACGGGGAGAGAGGGAGGAAGAGGAGAGAGAGGGGGACAAGAGAAGTAATACTGCACTAAAAGCACAGGAGATGGAAAATGATACAAACAGGGAAGTGGTAATTATAATCTTTGACCAAGCCACTGGAAGCACAATATGAAGTCAAGTGGCTACAAATAATTAATAAGGCCTCCTGGTGTGTGTGTATGTGTGTGTGTGTGCACATGTGAGAGAGAGTATGTGAATGTGTGTGTGTGTGCTAAGAGTGAGGCGCAGGGGGAGGGTAAGTGCTGACAAATGTCTTTTCTGAACATTATTTCACCAGCCCTCTCAGTGGCTGTTTTTACAAAAGAAAATAATGTGACATCACCAATAAACAGCGCGTTCTCACCAACTGCTGCTGTGAGGAAGTCAGTAATACACTCACCTTTAAACAGGGGTAGAGGGTGGAGGATGCCTTGTCTTATAATGCCCTTCAGATCCAATAAGAGCTCAGGTTTCAGGAACATTAGTGCAGTGAAGCAGTTTTTAAAAGACCATTCTGCTCCCTCCCTTGTCTCCTCTTCATGCGCCCTCTGTCAGGTCAAGAAAAGAAGACAAGGAGAGCCATTTTCCATCTTCTGGCATATACAGTTTCGAGTTATTTGGCAGCAGGAATAATGAGATAATATGCATTTTTAATAGTTCGTCTTCAGAATATTCAATAACCCTTCACCTCTGTGCGTGCGCTTATAGATTCTGTGCTTTATCAATCGAACTTTCTGTTCAAAACTGAGCTGGAAATAGAACGAGAAGGAGGGCAGGGGGAAGAAGAAGGGGGGGGGGGGTGAGAAAGAGGATGTAATGGATATCTCTGTTTCCTAAAAATGCTGTGAGGATGATGGAGTCTAAGGAAGGCTCTGATTCACAGCCTGCTCTTTTTTGCTCCAAAACAAGACAAGTAGATGGATGGCTTTGAGCAGCCTAATCCGACAGTGAGTGACTGCTCTGTCAAAGGTCTAATCTTCTCCCAGAATAGTGGAGTAGGCTGTTTATTCTGATCAGACGTCCTTGATATATAATCATTAACCTATTGCTATTCAAACTGATACGGTGAGATATGCGATGTAAGGGGTTACCTTCACAGGAATACCTCCTGTACTCGATTTGTGTCCTTAAATAATTGGTTAGTGAATTTGTACATGAAATCAGGGTAATTTGACCCTAACAGCAGTGTGGTCGCACCATTTCAGGGCTGTTTGATTTCAGACGTTTTCTAATGGATTTCTAGCCTGTGACACACTACAATATGGATTGGTAAAGCTATATGAGGCATTAGAGATTCAAGTACTTTATGTCCTATTTATTCCTTATGTGCCACAGGCCCCCTATCTTGAGATATGACCAGCTCAACACGAGAAACCTTTAATAAAATAAAAAAGTAAAAAAGGGGAAAATAGAGATTTACAGCTGGCCATTCTGACAGTAGACTTGATATAAGGTGTTCATAACAAGTTTTGCATTTTATTCCTGGTCCCCTCACACACATTTAAATCATATTTTATGTGATCTATGTATGCAGCACTCATCCTCTCTCTGTCACCCAATCTCTCCAATGTGTCCCTCTTAAACAGATTGCTACAATACTTGTAATGATGGTCTTTCCCAGCTGTGCTGCAGGAGAGGGGAAGGGAGCAGCAGGCCATAGTATTACCATAATACCCGCTCCCTCCCTCCACTGTCCCATGGGCCCATGTGGGGCTCTGCATGGGGATGCAGGGCAACTCTGCTGTGGAGGGGACTCAACTGGCTGCCGGTCCTGCAGGCTGTGTGTGTGTGAGTGTATGCTTGAATGTGTGTGACTGTGACAGGGCTGAACCTGCCTGTGGGCGATCTAATAAAAGCGCCACACACTGCTGGTAGTGATGGTGGCACTGCTGCTGTAGCTGCAGAGAAGGGGATAAATATAAACCGGGCCCGCATCAAGGAGACGGCCCTCCAGTCACAGCCTGACTTACATCCTAATAATTAGGCCCCTTTCCAATAAAACAGGGATTTGTAGCCATGCATCTCTTTTTCTTGTGTTTGCTCCTGCAGTGGAAAGGATGCATGGTCTTGTGCAGTCTCTGGGTGAAGCAGAGGCTGTGAGAGGAATTGATTTCAACAGTATTATAAACAGTTCAGCAACATTTGCCCAGTTTAATCTAGACAATCAGAAGACTCTGCATCAGATTCTTCTTGTGCAATTGACATATTCATTTTCTACAAATATTACACAATTTCTATATTAAATTATGACATTACTTAGGGGTACTTTCGAGTACTTTACGGTTGTTGAAAGCATAAACCATCTGTCGTTTTCTTGAATTTGCACACATACACACACTCCCCCGTCTCTGATAGAGCCTGATCGATAGATGAGGCATGCAGGTTGCTGTTGTGTGTTATCTTAAGCCTCCTAATGTGCCCTGGCTAATCTTTACTCCAACAAATCCTGACCTGAAACCTACTGCTTTCCTTGTGCTTTGTTCTGTGGACACACTTTCAAATTCAAGTCCTAGACATTCATTATGTGCACTTATTTCGTATTATTGAGCTAAATAAACTAGAGTGTGCTGAATAATATCCTGGAAGATATCCTGAAATCCCATGATCACAATTATGTGTTGAAAAAAGACACTTAATATTTTTCCAATAAAATAGCAATACACAGAGGGAAGGTTTTTCAGGTTTGAGGATTTCCAAAAGTCAAATTGAAAAGAGAGAAAGAAAAGCAGAACACTACATGCCGAGGGAGAGAGGGAGGGTGGGGAGGCAGTCTAGGCAGGGGGTATCAGGCTAATTAAAGCAAGCATTTGTCAGAGATTAAGCCTTAAACAGAAAAGGTCATCTGAGCACCAGAGCACACTGTTTCGCTGCTGTGCTCTTAGGGCAGTCTAAACCTTTCCCAGCTAAATGGTAAAGATGCTATTTGCCAGAGATGGGGGAAGGGATCGAGATCCCGACCAGTGACAAGAATGACACTTGGGTCATTGGTTCTTCACTGTCCATTACACATGCTGGTCAAATATGGCAATCGGTGTCATTTAGGGATGAAAAATAAGTGCTGGGACAAGATCAATAGATGCAGCCGTCTGTGCCGTCTGTGATTAATTGACTGTCACCAATTAATGGCCGGCCTGTTGCAAAGCAAAGCAATCGCAGTGGGACAATGGGTATTTCTTTCATTTTGGCCTGATATTGGTTATTTTAGGACAAGTTGCCCTGAAGTAAATTCATTAACCACTTCTTTTACAGATTTGCAGGTTTGCTGTGGCACACTGGAAAGTGCCTCTGACAGCATCTTGTGTGTAAGGCGTACTTTGAAGTTGTTTTCAATGCAGGGATTAATATAGAATTATATGAAAGCTTGCACATAACATCCACATTGGTTTTTTTTTCAGTCCAATCGGATACAGTTACTAAAAATATTTGAATATGTTCCTGCTGCCTCTCCTTCAGAAGTCTGTATACATTAAAATATTCTCATTGTTTAGGGATAATGAAGAGTAACATTGAATAATGGCATTTAAATTGATTCTACACTGATGTTGCTCTCTAACTGATTTAACTTAAACATATTCATTACGTACATTTACTCCAAATGTTCTCTGGTGGTATGAAAAATGAGTGAGAACACATGGAAGCCTGTGATCCACCTAACAGACCACTAAACAATCAAACAAGTACTGGTGATGTTTTCAAACTGGGATCAGTGTACAAGGTTATTTTGAAGTCAGTCAATTCTAATCATATTAGATCTTGAGAAGATGTCCTGGCTTAAGATGCAATGTGCACAGGACATGTTGGTTTAGATATGAGTAATGGCTTTGTGGGGCTAAGCTGTGGGGCAGATGTAATTTGAAATACTTGTAGTGAAAATTATGCTAATATTTGGTCACTCTGTATTGTTATTTATAAATTAGATCATTTAGGCATCACAAAATATTGCAATGCAATCGTTTTCTAACTGAATGAATGAGATATTTGTGGCATCTATTTAAGAGATTTTCAATTTGCAGTTAGTTTCTGTCACGCATCCCCCCCCCCTTGATCTTTGTACGTTGCTGTGAATTATCATTTTACAATAACTATAAAGATGGAAATTCGAAGCTAAATATCTTGTTTTTACTGGGAGTGTATTGACCTATAGTGACCAATTTTCTTAATAATTTCTACCCAGTTAATCATTCTTTACTTAAAGTTTTGCCAGAAGTTCAATGTGTAGTGAGTTTACTAGAGAACAGCTATATTTGTTTACAGTGTAACCCAAATAGAAAGCAGTTGTGCTGCTGTGTATATGAAAAGTTAATATTTTATTATTACATTTTTCTTACTACACTGAACCATTGAAGCCTCTTTCAGGACTTTATTTTGGAAGTTCATTTTTAAAATAATTTACCAGTATAATCTGTGGCATGCAAATTATACATCCAAAATTTCAGCATTCCCCTGGATGAAAGGTAGCTTTATAGATTTTTATAGGGAATACAGCTGCCTTGCCCATCAAATCCAGGAGTGTATTCTGTGAAAGAAAAATGTTGTAGTTTGCATCATATGCACACATGGTCATATTTGCATTGCAAAATGCAGTGATGTGCAACTTTCCCAAATACAACATAGTAAACTTGAAAATAGGAAATCACGTTTTAAACTATATGGAAAAAAATGATGATATGTTAAATTGGGTTTGCTTTCCCAACTAATTATTGATGATAACCCCAATGTATTAATTCAGACAGAAGACCTATAATATGTGAAAAAAAGTTAAGTACTGTTGTTGTAATCATCAATGGATCCTCAACACATACAAGCTTTCTTAAATGAGCTCTCTATTTGGAGCACCAATAATCAATGCATTTCTGTTAGGTCTAAAGTCATTAGGACTCATTGCTTGGGGTCTCCACAGTGAGTTCTTACAAACATTTGTAAAACATGTTTTGTAATATGTAAAAAAAAAATACATTGCATTTTTTTAATCTCTCTTCTTTAGTTTGACATCATGGTTTCCATGATGTCAAACTAAAGAAGGAATTAATAAAGTACAACCTTAAAAGAATCCTTTAAACACACTGTTATGTGAAGTAAAGATACTGTAGCAAGGCACCAGCGGATTGCTCTCAACTTAGCAATAGGCCTCCTGGCTCTAATGGGGAACATATTGTAGATAGTGTAGATAATGTATTTAATAAGACCTGAAACTAGTGATTGAAAGTGTTTACTGGGGTCACAGACATGAGAACCCAAACTGTCATTTTCCCACAGACTTTAGTACAACTGGACTTCGTTTAAAACCTGATGAGAGGTCTTCTTATTGCCACAACAAAGGTTTAAGGCTATTAAACCGTGGTTTCATCTTTCAGGCCTGGAAGGCACATCCATCTTGTATACACAGCTGTGAAAACATATTTGCCATGTTTCTGATTTCTTTTTATTTCTTTTTCTTGCGGAACAGATTTTATCCTCCTAGGATCTGGTGTCCACATATGTGGACATCACATTTTGGGATGTCTAGACCAAAATACAAAATTTTGCTCTTATCCACTCACGAGGACATTATACTGTCACTGTTCTATCGAAATTTAATATGTGGATCTCATTTTTCTCAGAAACAAAAATCAAGTAAAAAACAGCAACTGGTAATTCTTTGTTTTTAAATTCATCAGGTCCCAAACAGCCCAAAAAGCAAAGAGAAATTAAATATGCATGCCATGAAAGAGTTCGGGTCTTAGGAGGTTAATATCAGACAAATATAAGCTGTGTAAAAAAAATAAAAAATCATAGTTTTTAAACTATGACTTTATTTATTCAGGAAAAAAAATATCCAAACTTACCTAGCTCTGTGTGAAAAAGTATTTACCCCCGGAAACCTAATGACTGATTGTGCCACCCTTGGCGCCTAGAACTGCAATCAAGCCTCTGCAATAACTGTCAATGAAGCTTTCACATCACTGTGGAGGAATTTTGGCTAACTCTTCTTTGCAGAGTTATTTTAATTCAAACACACTGGAGAGTTTTCAAGCAGCAAGGACCTGTCAAAGCATCTCAATCTGATTTGGGTCCAGACTTCTTATTAGCTCACTCCAAACCTTCTTTTAAAGCTATTCAGAGGTCAACCCGCTCGTTGCGTTTTAGATCACTGTCCAAGTGAACTTGAACTTCAGGGCGTGAACTGATGGATGGACATTCTCTTTGTAGGTTTTTTGTTAGAGAGCCAAATTCATGGTTCCATCAATGGAACTGGAAGCAGTCCCAGACCATGACACTACCACCACCATGTTAGGCAGAGTGTTGATGTGATGTTCTCTTTATGAAATGCTGTGTTAGTTTTATGCCACATTTAATGGCATAAAACCTTCTAAACTCCCAACTGTTGTCCTGTCAGTTCAAATATTATCCCAGATGTCTTGGGGATCATCAAGATGTTTTTGGATACTGTGAGATGAGCCTTTGTGTGAGCCTTTTTGGTCAACTTTATCAGACAGGTTCCATTTAAGTGGTGTATTTAACAGGTCTGGCAGCATTCAGGCCTGGCAGTGGCTAGTGAAACTGAACATGAGCATGTTTAAAAAAAAAAAGGTTAATCACAGTTAATTTATGATAGCAGGCAGTTAATTTTTCACATAGTGCCAAGTAGGTTTGGATAGTTTTTCCCCTTAATAACTCATCAATTAAAACTGAATTTTGTAGTAACTTAGTTTATGTTTGTCTGATATTAAAACGTCTCTGAAATCTAAAACATGTAAGCATGACAAATATGCAAAATAAAGTCAGGAGAAGGAAAATACTTTTTAAAAAATGTATAAAGTATGTATATACAATACTGAATGAACCACAGACAGGTGTAATGTCTGGTTTTATCGCCTTCACCAATATTGGACGTACATTTATCAAATAGAGTCCACATTACTTCTAACGCTTTTCTATTTCCGGTTTAAAATAACAATAGTTTGCTTAAACACTGGCAAGTGATAAAGCTACTGTGCCCTGGTTTAGCCGTGACTAGAATACATTACAACAAGATACTTGTGTGTGTCTTCTTCACTGTCAAACCAAGTGAAGAAGACATAATTTTAATGTTATAAAATTACGGGTGAAGGGCAACTGTACCTGTTTCGCGAAGTACCGCCTTTTGACCCCTCTGGGTTTCTGTAGTTGTGAAGCTCGGCGCGCGACGCAGCGGTTTGGTGGGAGATTTGTACCTCTTCAGGGAAGTGAGTTACATTTTTAATGAAAAATGGCTCTGAACTACCAGGCATCTACCCTCTCTCTCACTCTGCCAATTTCCTGCCAGATATGCCTCGGAAAGGTAAGCGTCGTTCGATTGTTTTACCTCCTCGTTAGCGCCTATGGTTTGGTAAACAAACTAGGCAAACTGTTTCCTACATGAGTTAAACGGAGGTGACCGTTGTTTGTTGTGTTTGGTTGTGCTAGTGGGTTAATTTGCTCGTGTTTTTCTCGGTGCAGGTTAGGCAGCCGGTTATTTGTTCCAACCACCACGTGTTCTGTTCATCCTGCATGGAAATGTGGTTAAAGAAAGCTAACCAGTGTCCCACCTGCAGAGTCCCCATCACAACAGAGAACCCCTGCAGGGAAATCATCGGTGAGTAGTTGCGGGCAAACAAAGGAAAGCAGGCTTGAAGCAGAAGAGAAGAGGTGATCTGCCTGCCTGCAGCATCTCACAGCTGAGTCTTCTTTTCATTGTGCTCCCAACAAAGCACGGCCTCAAGTTTTGCAGGCAACTTTCTATGAGCCGTGACGTTTGTTTTGTTAGTAATATCCCCAAGTTGACGATTTCAGTTAATAAAGCAAGTTGGATCATATTTAGTGAGATTGCTTGTTGCAGCTTCAGAGTAAGTCAGCATAAAAATAACTCCTTTATGAACGCAAGCATTGTTTGCAGTGTTTAAGCGTTTGACAGGGGCTGGGGGATCCATCCTTTCCAAATGCTTATTGGAAAACTGTTGATTTTCTTACTGCAGGCTTACCTGCAGTCTGTAAAACTGTATTCCCTTATCCATAAAACAAACTGGCTACAGTTTATGCAGGCAAAGGTAGCACGAGGTGATATATCTAAGACAGTTGTACTGAAAAATAAATGTTTTAGGTTTCCTTTGAACTTGTGTGAGGCATATTTGAATATATGAATTTTATGTATTTAGTTTTAATCATACAACCCTGCTGTTTTCCAGCATTTACTCTCTATTTTTGTTGGCAGATCAGTTTGGATTTCTTTGTAACAATACCAGACAGTACTCACTGACATGCAGACATGCAGTAGCTAAGCTTAGCCCCAAAAACTTGATTCAGACTTGATTGTTTCAGTCATTCACGGAGCTGTTTCTTGCAAAAACAAAGACTTTATTATTGCAGTTGTTTCACCTGTACCGTTGGAATTTTAATATCAATCATTGGCTACTTGATTAGATACACTTGTTGATGCATTTATCTAATGCATATATCTATATCTAATCAGTTACATGAGAGCAACACAATCCATTTAGACTCAGAGATGTGGTCAAGCGAACCTGGTGAAGTTAAAATAGAGCATCAGAATGGGGAAAAATGTAATTTAAGTGACTTTAAATGTAACATGGTTGCTGGGATTTTCCCACGCAAACATCTGTAAGGTTTATAGAGAATGGTCTGAAAAAGAGAAAATATCCAGTGAGTCCCATTTTCCCTGATTAAAAATGCCATAATGATGCAAGAGATCAGATGAAAAACCAGACTGCTTAGAGTTGACAAGAAAGCAACAGTAATTCAAATAACCACTTGCTACAACTAAGGTGTGAAGAAGAGCATCTCTGAATGCACAATAAGTCCAACATTGAAACGGATGAAACACCAGGTGCCGCTCCTATCAGCTGTGAATAAGTAACTGAGGCAACAATTGATATGGGCTCACCACAGCGGGACAGCAGAAGACTGGGAAATTGTTGGCTGAGTCTCGAGTCTTCTGCTTTGATATTTAGATGGTAGGTCAGAATTTGGTGAAAACAACATGAATGGATCCATCCTGCCTTGAATAAACTGTTTTCTGGCTGCCGTTGGTGTAAATGCACATAGGATATTTTCTTGACACACTTTGACTCTCCTAGTATCAGCTGAGAATTGTTTAAGCATCACAGCCTTACCTGAGTGTTTTTGCTGATAAGTGCACCACTTTGAGTACTCACAGAGTACTCCTCTTCTGGTGGCTGCTTTCAGTAGGATAACACACCATGTCATAAAGCTCAGACTGATTTCTCAAACATTACAATGAGTTCACTGTACTTAAATGGCCTTCACAGTCACCAGATCTTAATCCGCCTTTCGGAAGTGGTGGAATGGGAGATTAACATTATGGATGTTCAGTCAACAAACCTGCAGCAACTGTGTGATGCTATCATTTCAACATGGACCAAAATCTCAGAGGAATATTTCCAGCACCTTGTTGAAGCTATACCATAAAGACGTGAGACAGGAACATGTGAAAAGATTAAAATAAAGAGATAGATCATTTTAGAGATTTCCTTTAACCCAATTTGGTCTTGTTTTTTTTTTTTTTTAAGATGTATTTACCAAATAAACAATCTTTGTGCTAAAAAGAGAACATGTGAGCAAATTATTAAAAGGAATGTTACAAATGATGGTCTTCTCTTGTGAAAATCAGTCACAATTTCCCTGTGCACTATAAATTTGCCTGCATTTTAAATGGCAGCACCTCAAGCCTTGAATGTTCTTCAGTTTTACGCTTGCCTCTTTATTACTGTAATGTTGTGCTAAGGTAACAACAAAACCACATAAAAGCCAGCTGATGTTACTTGGAACATTACTTAAATGTGTTTTGTGGTCTATTGTGTTAATCATTTACTGTACTTGTGTGCTTGTGTTACAGGAGGAACAAATGAGGGTGATCACAGTGATAGTCCTTCTGTGAGAAAATGTCTCAGAAAAACGAGAGGGGAATTAATTTTACACGAGTATGAGGTATTGGTTTGACGTGCTCTGTTATGTTTAGTATGCTTTCCTATGTTTATTATTTACAGTCGTTTAGAAAAAAAGAGTTAATAAAAGTATAATCACAGCTGTATTAGTATCTCACTCGATATCATTATTTCCAAATGATATTTTTTCTCTCTCTCTCTCTAACAGGAGGAAATTGAAGGGCTCATGAGAGAAAACGAGGAGCTGAAAACCAAAAATCAAAGCTTGGAGGAGCAACTGAAGACTGCTTTGGATCCCTGCAGCATTAATATAGTGCAACTGGATGAACAAAGGGTCGCTCCATTTGTCCTGGAGGAGTGGACAAACAAGCTGCGAGCAGCCACAGATGTCTGTGATAAAGTAAAGAAAGACATGGATAAGCTCAAAGAGGTATGAAGCCTGTAACATTTAGGACATTACAGGTTTCAGTAAATTGACCCTTAAAGCAGGAATTCACCGTTTTCTGATAGATGCAGTTAGTTCACTGTTCGGTATTTTAGTTGTCTAAAGAGTGTTTTAATGAAACAGTTGAAAGTAGACATGTTAATTGCATGTAATTATTCAGATTTATTACTTTATATAAGGAAAAGCGTTCTGGTAGTATTATTTTTTTTTTACCTGCTTGATTCTTGTATTCCAAGTAAAGCTAAATGGACGTTGCTTCAAAGTTTATTGCGCTCGATTACTTGTTTTACCACACAATATATGGACAAAAATTCTCTACCACCTACATATTACACATGTGGGAGCTGCTCAGCCATTGAAATCCACGTCAAACAAATTTTGTGCCGATTGTATATGTAGGAAATAAGAAATTTCATAAACTGATTCCTTGCAGTGGTGGCATCCTGTTATGGTATCACGCTCAAATTCAATTTTTTACGATTTATTTTTATTTTCTTGCTCTCCCCAGAAATGTTTGTAAAGGCAGTCTGCATGGCCAGGTGCTTTATTTTGTATGTATTTTTTAAAATATACCTCTGGCAATGGGACTGAAAATACTTGAATTACATTAGATGGAGATTAACAGGTGTGGTCCAGTACTTTTGTCCATATAATGTAACTTGCTGTTTTTTTTTGTTTTTTTTTTAATAATAGAAATATTTTGATAATGTTTACTTTACCACCTTCAGGCAAATAAGACATTGCGGTCTCAAAATGTCGACCTTGTGCAAGAAAACATGAGACTGAAAGCAGAGGTGGCTAGCAGATCTCCTCAGAAGTAAGTATCATGTATAACCTTTGCCCTCCTTATCTAAGAATCTTTTTAGGTTTATACTTGAGCATAGTCTTAAAATCACACACACAAAAAAATCACACTTTCATAAGCAGGTTAAAATAAGGTTAAAATAAGTCAATTCAGCTCAGATCAACTGGAACTGTGATGGCACCTCTGTTTGTGTAACACCAGCACGTTAGGAGTAGCTATGGTACAAATGAGACGAGGAAACGTTTTGGAAGGCAAGACCAGATCAGAGCAGACTGAAGACGGGCAACACACATTGCGCCATTGACTAAATAGTAGGTTGAGAAACAGCCCAGCATGCAGCTTGGGTGTGAGTTGCTGCTGCAGTATAAAGGTGGCGCAGTCAGACAGAAGTGCTTGAGCACATATGCATCCTAAACTGTAATACTTTCCATAACCACCAAGAAGCTCACATCTGCCAAGCCCGGAGTTTGATTAAAGATACGATGACTTACAAATCAATGCAAGGTTTTGTAAATAACTACCTTTGTGGGTTTCTTAAGTCACAGTTAAGATAAAAATATTATTCTATGTCAATTTTGCAATTGAGGAACCTTGGTTTTTTTTCTCATTGTAATACTCAATTGCTGCCATTAGTCGATAAGGTCCACTCTTGCAGCCACTCTTGCTGCTGAGCATCTTCTAGTAATAATGTGTTCTTGGCTTACTGGGTTGTTATTATAGATTTTAAAATGATTACTTCTGTTTTAATAATGAGGATTTGCATGTTGAATACTGAGTTTTTGACTCATGTTGTAGCCAGAGCCAGGCTGACATTAGTCACTCCTATGTGACATAGATGCCCTTTTTTTTTTCTGTGAAATCGCCATTTACAATCTTTTTCTCCCCAAAAGAAAAATGTAAGGTTGTTTTTATTTATATCTCAGTTTTTGTTGAGTTTCTACATTTGATTTTTTTTTTTTAATAGACTACATTTCAAAGATTAACAAAAAAAATGGTGTGTTGAATTTTCTGTTCTAAATTAAATACTAAATGATCTGTCGCCAGGTTTGGCCGATACACAGTCGCAGCACTGGAAGCTAAAATTCAGCAGTATCAGCGCGATGTGGACCACTTGAAAAGGGCTCTTGAGCGCAGTGACCAGTACATTGATGAGCTGGAGAGTCGGATCAGGGTGTCTGAGAAGAAATCTCTTGAAGTGCAGGAAGCGTGTGGGAGTTGCAAGGCTGCTAAGGAAACTCTCACAAAGCAGCAGAAAGTCAACATGATGATGAGAAGCTTGAGTGACAATGAGAGGAAGTTGATCTGCAGCAATCCAGAGGCAGAATGTGGGACATTTTCTAGAAATCACAGTTTGATGTTGATGCCATCCGCAGATCACAAAGATTTCAGTAAAAATCTGACAGGAAAGCAGAAAAACGAGGCCTCGGAAGGCACCTCCTCTGACTTTTTGCCCAGTACTCCATCATCTGCTTTCCGCTCCCTGACTCTGAGAAGCCCAGGCATCCGTGAGAAGAAAGTTGCATTTAAACCTGGGTCTTATCTAAGGAGGCTTGATTTTGAAGAGGTTCCCAGTCCTGATAAGAGCAGTACCACACTGGAGAACCAATTCAACAGTGTTGAGAAATTCCCCAAAGGCTTGCCTCCAAATGACTTGGAGTCCTCAAAGTCTGTCTTCTGGGCAGGCTGGGACAAATCCAACTCTGACCAGTCATGTACAGGTTCAAGTAAAGGAAGCTCTATCAAGGGATCCACTAATTTTGTGGTTGATGAGTCAGATAGTTTCCACATGTCCAGTGAGGCCTGTATGGATGTGGCCTACCTGAACAAAATCTCAGAGTTGGACTCCATGATGCTGGAGGGTGAGAGTTCCTGTAGTCCAGGGCTCTCTGTTGATTCCTGTCTTTCCACAGATATGGACAACACCCTAGTTCCAGAGCCTCAAACATTCCCTAATGCCTTGTCAAGCCATGCTGGTAAACCAGTGACGCACAACAAGCATAACAATCACCAACCTTGTGACAATAAGGAGAGCATCTTGAACGACAAAGAAACTCCAAAAGGTTCAGCAGAAGAAGGTTGTGCTGCATTAGTCTCTGGTAGGAAGAGTGGCGTCTGTGGAGGGGCCTCTCACACCGAAGAGCTATCTTTTGATTTGCTGTTTGATCCTTCGGATGAGAATAAGGCCGGTCCCTCTGGCTTTCCAGCAAGCCAAGATCATGATCTTGTAAACCCCTCCTCTTCCTCCTCTGGCTACACTGCTGGTCAGCCTGTGAGCACAACAAGAGACAGACACACGCTGAACAGCAGTCAGCCAATAAAGAGAAAGTCCCACAGTCCCTTTACCATAAGCAGTCCCACCAAACATTCAAAGCTCATGTGAAAAATGTCAAAACAAACATGTGTTCCTGGTGCACTACTCTTGGTACAGTGTTATGGTGATTGTGTGATGCTAGGGTGTAACTTATTGTTATTTGTCTCTTGTAATATTACAAGAATTAAGCTAAAACGAGATAGGAATGTCATAGTTTTTGTGTAGTGTGCTTGTAGGCCTCATTAGTGATGTGCTAATGCACACTGATCACACTGGTGATCGCATTGTAGTCCTAACCCATGCTGTTTTGTTCTACTATAGTTGGGGCTGAGACATTTTCCAAGTATACCTTCAGCCTTGTTTTCTGTATTCTGCTAATGGTCTTTGGACTTTCTAATGGCTTGTAATACTGAAGACAGATGAATATGACTGTCATTAAAAATTGCTGAATTAGTAGTTGTAATGTATATTAGGAAATGAAACGGGAATGCATTAAATAGTCAAAAAATTATGAAAATTAATTTTGCCTTTCTGTATGGTTTGCATTGCCTGGTCCAGTAACTCATCACTGGCATTGGGGATTAATATGTTGTGTACCAGTTACATTTGTTTTTTTTTTTCCTCACACTGTCCATATTTTTTCTATTTTTGCTGGTAATTTTGCAACACATTAAACCAGTAATAAATTTGTCGCCACTGAAAGTGGAACCAACACTGCAAAACATGCTGCCTGTAACGACGCACATTAGAGACCCCACGCACACTAAATCCATTGGCGCAGAAAGCGCCTTATTTATTATGCAAATTTAACGATATCGTGTATATTTCACATACCTCTAATCGCTGCATGAAATTTTAATTGGGGAGCCGTTGTGGTTTGAATAAATGAAGTGTTAATTCATTGGGATTAATTAATTTAGGTAAAGACTGTGTACAAGGTTACACTGGTGTATTAAATCAATTTGTTTAGTGCTCATCTGGCGATGATGGGCTCTAATGATAAAGGGGGCGGTGTCAGTATTTCCAAGGGTTAATATGAGAAATGGGACTGTGGGCCAAGAACTACTGGAAAACCATACAACTTTTACAACAAAAAATACATTATTAAAATTGTTTAATATGTCTATACCGATGCCTACAAGATTAAAATTGCTTATTTATTAATTTCATATTAAATATAGACCTCGTGTTTTTGTGTGTATATTTTCCCCAATACTCGATTGGAAACAACTTTCTGAAATCAGACGTCCAGCCTAAAATAGACAGATGCTCAATTCTGCGGCATAAAGTCAATATTATTCGGCCTCCAGTTAAAAGATAAGGCCTACAGGCACTGGGAACGGCGAGGTTCTGTGGCTGGGAGGAGAGGAGTGAGCCCTTAAAAAACGCAGGCATCCAGTCTCCAGATGTTATTGCCTGCCCTGTGAGCAGTTTTTATCTGTCAGCCTGTTCACTGTTCTGGCAGTTTATGTCTCGCGAGAGCAGCCGAGCACGGGCTTGACGAGATCTGAGGCGCTCAGGTGTAAGAGCCTCTCTCATCCCCAGCAGTGGGAAACAGTAGACAGATAAGTGCGTCTGAGAGACTGCAGGCATCTCTGTGATCTCCGGGCTCAAGGCTGCACTCGGCGCACTATACAGCGAACTACACTGCGTCATTACTGGATAGGCAAAGGATCACTCTGTGTCTGTGATTGTTTTCTAGCTCTTGTAGCCGTTATCCCCCTTCTTTCCGTGCACTTTAATTGGAGAAGCTCGCCAAGATGATGTCCATGAACAGCAAACAGCCGCACTTCGCCATGCATCCCTCTTTACCCGAACACAAGTATACCACCCTGCATTCCAGCTCGGAAGCTATAAGGAGAGCCTGTCTGCAAACTCCACAGGTAAACCATCCCCGAAAACTTTCGCTTTGTCCTTGTTTTTTTTTCTTCTTCTTTTTTTGTTACTTGCCTAAGCTGCTTGAGCACTGAGCGCTGTCTGTGCCTAATAACAAGGGCTGCTCCAAGGCACATTCAGCCAAGACGCGCACTTAATGTTTTTTTCATGTATTCCACAGCAATCACTGGAAGAGTCTGTGATCTTTTTGAAAGCATGCTCACGCAACGCCGGGCTTTACTGTTTTTGTATTAATTTTTATGACTTGCCGCTTCTGAAGGAATACTCCGACTCTGTTATGTGTCGCCAAAAGTCCCGACTGACAGATTCATTTATGCTTTTTTCTTTTTTTTTTTCTGTCGCCTTCCTTTTTTCTTCACGTCCTTTCCCATTTCTTACTCATTTTGAAAACCTTCATTCTCCCCCTCTCTTTCTTTCTGTCTTTCTTTTTTTTTTTTATCCCCCCCCCTCTTGCAGTTACAGAGTAACATATTTGCAAGCCTGGATGAGACGCTGCTGGCTCGGGCTGAGGCTTTGGCGGCCGTGGACATCGCCGTGTCCCAGGGCAAGACGCACCCGTTCAAGCCCGACGCCACCTACCACACGATGAGCACGGTGCCATGCTCGTCGACATCCACCGTGCCACTAGCCCACCACCATCATCACCATCACCACCACCACCACCAGAACCTGGAGCCACCGGACATTATGGACCACATCAGCTCGCCGTCTCTCAGCTTAATGTCCAGTGCGCACGACGTGGCGGGCGGCGGAGGTGGCGGTGGCGGCGGAGGTGGCGGTGGTGGGCTCATCTCCACCTCTGCTCACCCGCACTCTCACATGCACGGTTTGGGTCACCTCTCCCACCAAGCTATGAGCATGAACTCACCTCTCACCCACCACGGGCTCTTACCGGGCCATCACGGGGGAGGTCAAGGCGGCCCTGGGCTCACAAACAACGGACTTCCCTCCATTAATGACTCGGACACAGACCCAAGGGAGCTGGAGGCTTTCGCGGAGCGCTTCAAACAGCGGAGGATCAAGCTGGGGGTGACACAGGCGGACGTGGGCAGCGCTTTGGCTAATCTCAAAATCCCCGGCGTTGGATCACTGAGCCAAAGTACAATTTGTCGATTCGAGTCTTTAACTCTCTCCCACAACAACATGATTGCGCTCAAACCCATCCTCCAGGCCTGGCTAGAAGAGGCCGAGGGGGCCCAAAGGGAAAAAATGAGCAAACCTGACATTTTCAACGGAGGAGAAAAGAAACGCAAGAGGACCTCGATAGCAGCCCCAGAAAAGAGGTCTTTGGAGGCTTACTTCGCTGTACAACCTCGACCGTCGTCTGAGAAAATAGCAGCTATAGCTGAAAAGTTGGACCTGAAAAAAAATGTGGTACGAGTGTGGTTTTGTAACCAAAGACAGAAGCAGAAGCGGTTGAAATTTTCCGCGGCTCACTGATGGGCGAGGAAGAGAAGTTAAAAAAAAAAAAAAAAAAGTTGTGTGACTGAATTTGGGGACCAAGGGACACCGAGACACCATTTTCAGTCTTTTGTCTCCAGCGATTTTACACGCTGGTGCACAATGGACTTTAGATACCCATTTTATGAGGCTTCATATATCCTGTTTATTTTCACGTTATCGGTGAATGTGAAGTATGCAAATAACAGATTACACAAACTTGGCTCAGATGTTACCAGGGAAAAGTTTAGCGACGTCGACATTGCCTTTTAAATAAAAGAAAACAAAAGAAAAAAACTTGTGGAAAGAGGTAATTTGCTCGATACTATAGCGAGTTATTTTCTCCGAATAGGCCTGTTATTTTGAAGTATAGCCATTTACGAATTACCTCACTGATTGTTAAATGTGGTTTGGGTTTGATCTTTTCTGTCGTTGATATAGACTAAGTCATGACTGTTCATTTATTCATCCGTTCATTTATTCTTATTTGGAGGCTGCTACGAACTGAAATTTAGTTGCAAACTTTTTATGGCTATCGGAAAAATAATTATTTTTCAGGCCTGCATGAAATCCTAATTCACGGGAAGTAATTTAGCCTGTGTGGGCTGTCACATCTGCAGATATATTTATTTTGAATTTGCACAAAGGACCCTTTAGGTTTCTAGATCGGCTATGTCGAAATGCGTTTGTATATACAGACATCACTTTATCACTTACCAGAGGTGAGCTCCTGTATTCTGGAAACAAAATTAATAAGGGGGAGGGGGTCTATCTGCACCATTGGCATCACTGGGAAAAGTTTCAGACAGATCAGAGCATGATAGCTCTGTCTACATCATTAAGAAGAGATCGCAATCAATAAAAGGGGTTTTTCGTTCTTTCATGTGTTTCAGTTTGCAGTGCAAACACTCTATGCATTGGAAGAAGAATCACTGCATAGCCTACAGCAGAGTTGTCTACTGCTAGACCTTATTTTGTGGATGGTGTAAGTCACTGTTTAATGCCTGTTTTCACATTGAGATCACCACGTTGTTTGTCGTGTTAACTGTTACGGAAACGTTGTGTAAGTAATATTTTACTTTGTGCACAAAAGTATGTTTACAAAAACTGCGGCGACATGTGCATCATGGAGAAAATGTCCCACTGTCTCCTTCCCTCTTTCACAACTTCTCCACTCTCCTCTGTTGTCCTCTTACTTTCATTGGTACTATTCATCCTGTAAGCCAAATCCAACAGGGAGGTGTGTTCCAGCAATCTTCTAATAAATCAAAGAAAGAAAACTGTGCTTTTCCTGGTTGTGATTCGGCCTGCACGGCACACGATTATCAAGGTTACTGCTGGTGCAATAGTTTAACGCATTACTATGGCCACGTGATAAAGCGTTTGGTATGGTTTTAAATGGCGTAGCTTTATTCTAATCAGCGATATAAAACTCATTATAATGGTTGTATATACATTTGCCTAATTTTAGAGGATAATATTAAAGTTTAAAGTTTAACTTTTGAAAGTTAGATGCGTATAATTTTACATTTTTGCGCCGTTAGTTTCTCTATTATTATTATTATTATTATTATTATTATTATTATTATTATTATTATTATTATTATTATTATTATATAAACTAATATAAGTTTTACTTAAAATGTTTGTTTATTTTTTCTATATTATACTCATAATATTTATTTGGTATAGTAAGTAAATTGCGAGGCTGTATTTTAGTTGTCCTTACCTTTTATTTAAACATCTGAACATAAAATAGGATGAATTAATGAGTAATAGGCTGTTAAAGGAAAAAGTTTTCTTCCTATATTGACACAGGCCCAACAATCAACATTTAATGAAGTTTTAAAGTAGAATAACTGAGCACTGACACCAGAGAGAGCGAGAGAGAGAGAGAGACGATAGAGAGAGAAAGAGGGTGAGAGAGAGAGAATGAGAGAGAATGAGAGAGAGGGAAAAAAGAAAAAGAAAAGTTGATTTTCTTTTTAAAAATGACCACTGTGTGACCTCTACCCCCTCCAAATATTTCTGTTCACTCCTAACTTGCAGATAGGCTATATCAATTTTTTTTTTGTGGGGCTTCACGTTCGGCTGCATTCATAAAGAGGAATTTTTAAGAGCATGTAATGCAATATTAATCGCGATTTGCTGATATAAAATGCAATATTTTCAGACAGCTTTCGGGGGTTTCAGGGGAAGCAGGCGGATGAAGGAAGTCGCTGTTAAATAGCAGAGAAAGCTGCTCTTTATTGCTTTTCTTTAGCTTTTGGCTACACGGACAGAAGACAGCGAATCCTTAACGTAAGTAAAATACTTTTTTGTTGAATTTTTAAGAAATTTTGTTGGTCATTTGTAACTTTTTTTCTTTTTTAAAGATTAGCATAGACGTATGTCATTTTGAATGAAAATATATATATTTTTTCTTCTGCAATTGCTTTTCCATTTAAATTGTAACAGGCCTGCTTCGTGGCGTTCCCCACTGCTAGCCTTATTCCACTACTTCATTCGTTCAATTCTGTAAAACATAATTTTGTAAATCTAATTTAAAAATTGAGGAAAATTGTGCAAAAAATAATAAGAAATTTGTTTTCGTTGTGAGAATATTTTTCCAAACGCTGTTCTTTCGTGATACAGACTTTCTAGGAAAAAAGAAAAGAATGAATGAAATGTAAAAAAAAAAAAAAAAAAAAAAGCTATTTGCTCATTAAGTGATATTGCAAATTTCCTGTTAGAGGTTGCCGCTATCACAGAGTCCTTTTTGTTGCATTGTTACGAAATAGTACAGCTGTTATATATATGTATATATATGTGTATATATATGTGTGTATGTATATATATATATATATATATGTATATATATATATATATGTATATATATATGTATATATATGTAAATATATATATATATATATAAAGGTGTGTGTGTGTGTGTGTGTGTGTGTGTGTGTGTGTGTGTGTGTGTGTGTGTGTGTGTATATGTATACACAATGGCTTAAAAGTTTCACCACCTCATACTATCTACTGAGAGTAACGCAACACCGCTGGCACTGAACATACTCCACGCGCAGCACCGCACACGCCACATGGCAATCATTTCAGCACCACGAACAGCTCCGTTGGCGGATTGAAGAGTAATACATTATTGAAAGCCTATATCAAACAGCTCTGGGGTGCTGTCTCTCTGCACAGGGGCTCTGGATGAAGTCGGACTGTCTGCCTGCACAATAGCCTCTAATATGTTAATGGCCGTAGGGGATGCCTGAGGTACCATCCCCAGCTGCCTCGCCTACCATATGTCAGCCCGTTACGACAGAGTCCTCTATTAATCAGGGGGATATTTCATCAGCAACCTCACCGATATTATAACCCTTAAAGTTCTATCAATAGTCGACCGTGCCGGCGCCCGATCATAGGTATCCTTAGTGCCTGGGCCTAAAAGGGCCGTCCTCCTATAATCGTGTCTAGATCGTTTGAGTTACCCCATCCCGTCCCATTTCACTTCAGGTGTCCCGTTTGAGCCTTGTTACAATGAAAAACTAGATTATTATTATTATTATTATTATTATTATTATTATTATTATTATTATTATTATTATTATTATGTAACAGTGTTAATCACCGCCTTTCTTTCCTCTTTTGTATTCTTGCATAGGCAGCGATGGATTAATCACGGAGCCTACCAAAGGATCTCATAACTTAATTCCTTCAGGCTTCTAGTCAGGGGAGTAATTAATCTATACCGTGGATGTAAATAAGAGGAAATTGGATTCCTGACAGACGAAATGAGAGACTCTCTGACACCACGTTGGCAAATAATGATTTCACCACACGTTATGGTAACGCAGGCGCTTAGATTTATGAGAGCACGACTTTTTAGTATAGCTCTGAGCGGAGGGGAGTGGGCCTACCCTAATCGTAGCTGTTAGACGCCCAGGTTAAGATGGATTAGATCATTAGAATTACAACACTTCGAGCTGAAAGTTAAAGGAAATGGAAAGCTCTAACATACTGCGTTGGTTAAGCTTTTTTTCCTTCTTCTTTTTTCTTCCCCAATTGGCTTATGCTTTGTTCTTGCTTTGACATTGTTACACCCAATTTATAGAGTTTCTTAAAACAACATCAGTAAAACATATCTAAGATAAGAGCTCCCAAGGAGGGACCCCGCTGATCTAACAATAAGCAAGAAGGAGGCCCTTTTGGACGGAAATGTCAAACCGGGGATGTGGATGCGTAGATCCCCCAGATCTGCACTCATTTCCCACTTATATTTGCTCAGTAATCCGCTGTGGCAGCCCTCCATCGCCCGGGACCTGGTTTGAGAGGCGATGCTGTTGACACAAGGGTATATTTCAATCACAGAGGGTTCAGAGTCAGACGCACAACTTATTTGTCTAATAAATCCGTCATTTAGTAAGAAAAATATTTGATCTTGAGGGGCTGACCTCTTGCCATGTAGCTACTGACAGATAAAAATGGGCAGCCTATGTATGCTTCACGGATATGCAAGTAGGCTGCATAGCATAAAGCGCAATTTAGATTCATATTTGTATGGCGCCCAGTCAAAG